ATCATAACAAACCTATATGAAGTTATGAAATTCTCATTAAATTGTTCTAGGTACTCAGAACTTTCCCTCTCCAATTGGAGGAGGAGAAAATAGTTAATGGTTATTTCCAATTTTAGGCATTCCAGCAACTTCAGTCCAGGGCTTTAGGTCGGTCAGTGCACCTATCTCTAAACCTGGTGGGCTGGTAGCTTTACCAACTGGTCCTCCCCAACCCCAACAATGTTGGATCTGCAGAAATCCTATCTCTGGAGTTTTTCTTCAGGTTAAAGGTATATTTTTGATTATCTCAATACTCAATCTCAATACTCAAATGCTTATATATTAAGCAGTAAGGATGCATTTTACTTTTACAGGACGTCCCCTGCATGGTGAATGTTTCAACTGCGAGACTTGCAAATGTACACTTAAGAATGTTGGGCATTTTGCTATTGGAGAGAAGCTATACTGTCAACTTCATGCAAAGGAGGAACAGAACACCATACACGGTAATTTCAATTCAAACCTTTTTTCTATTTTGTAATGTCCATCATATAAATTCAGTTAGTAGTATAAAAGAAAATAATCTTTAGATATGAGGATTAAATCTGTCAGATGACTAACTTGAGAATAAAACTTATGTTCTATTTTCCAGGGCTCTCTGAAAGTTCAGTAGCTCTTACAGCTTCTCCCACTCCTTCAGCTCTTACAGCTCCTTCCGGCAATGTTCCTCCTGGATTAGCACAAAATCTGGCCAGGCTATCAATCAGACCTCAAGGAATGAATCTAAACAATGTAAATCAGGTAACTAATAAACTTTCAATATCAGGTAACATTTCCCCAAATGCCCCTTATTTCTCCCAATCCTCTCTCTTCAAAATCTTAGAATTTAGATGTGTGAAACACATTATTTTTATTAAACCATCATCAAAATTACTTTTCCCCCTAACTTTTTATTTTCGGAAAACTTCTGATGTAGTATTACAATCTTTATAAGTAGTTTGGGGGGTTTATTCTTAAAATATATACCACTTTAAATATTCAACTATTTTATCTTAATTTCCTTTTGACTGTTTATTAACACCTCCTGCTAAATTTAGGCTTTTAATTTATAGTTTTATACCCTTTATTCTGGTGATTATCAGTTTATATCCATATAATACGTTTTTAACAATATACAATTTCGTTTTTAATGATAGTTAAGATTTTTGATCTACTTTGGATTTAACTGAGCCTTTTTTATCTGCAATTTATAATATCTTACTGAGTTAATCTTTGAAACAAACGAAATGATAACCTTTAATCAACATTTCTTTTATCAGAGAAACCATGCATTATGCAATTTGCAATTTGCAAAATACAATTCTTTGCTAAGTTAATTAGGATTTAAATCAAGAATGTCTCAATTTAAATTGAATTATTAAAAATATTCTCAAAGAATATAGCGGAAGCAATTTGTACTTTTTACATATATTTGAATGATAAAATGGCAAAGGCATAAAGGAATTGAGCCACAAAGACTTTTTTCTCATTTCTATATCGCATTTATGGATGCTATATTGTTTGCACTAATGGCCGATTGAACTAACGTACTTTTGCACTAAAGTCAGCTGATCAGTAACCGGTTTTTAGTACGATCTAACATTAGTGCAAGTAAACAAAAATCTGTTTTTCTGTGTTCAATTGGACTAAAATTATTTTATTTTCGCGCCAGGAATATTTTAGTACAAATGATCATTAGTGCAATTGATCTGGAATACTAAAAATATTTGTTCAAGCGCACTAATTTTTTTCTGTAAATATTAGTGCAATTGAACGTTAGTGCAAATGAACATGTCCAAAAAAATTTGTTCAAACGGACTAATTTAAAAAAAATATTATTAGTGCAATTGAACATTAGTGCAAATGAACATGTCCAAAAAAAATTTGTTCAAATGGACTATATAAAAAAAATATTATTAGTGCAATTGAACGTTAGTGCAAATGAACATGTCCAAAAAAAATTTTTTTAAATGGACTAATTTTTTTTCTGGAAATATTAGTGCAATTATATTGCTAATTTATAGGTAATTGGTGAAATTTTAGATTTTTTTGATTGAACATATTTTTGTTCATTTGCATTATAATATATTCATTTGTACTGAAAAAATTTTATGGGCAAATGGTAAAATTTTAAATTTTAGTTCGATTGAACATTTATTTGTTCATTTGCACTAAAATATGTTCATTTGTACTAATAATATTTTATGCATGGCAAGTGGTAAAATTTTAGATTTTAGTTCGATTGAACATATTTTTGTTAATTTGCACGAAAATATGTTCATTTGTACTAATTAATATTTTATGGGCAATGGTAAAATTTCAGATTTTAGTTCGATTGAACATTTTTTTTGTTCATTTGCACTAAATATGTTCATTAGTACTAACATTGATTTTACCGGAACTTTTAGCTTTAGTTCAATTGAACATGTTTTGTTCATTCCCACTACAATATGTTCAATGGAAATAATTAATGAAATGAACCGAATTCTGCTAGAATTTTAAAAAATAGTTCTCCACGTGCTCGAAAAACCTTCCACGTGGTTTTTAGTTTGATTGAACAATTAGTTGTTCAGTCGCACTAAACATTAGTCCGAATGAACGTTAGTGCGAATTTTCGTTAGTCCGATCAATCATTAGTACAAATGATACAACACCCATTTATGTAAGTAAATTTTGAAATATTAAAAAACTTTTTTTTCAATTTCACAAAAAATCTTTCATATTAAGTATAGAAAGGTGTAACAAGTCGCTCTTCCCTGGGCTTTCGGAAAAAGGAAAGAAAAAGGGAACATTTTTATGATAAAACAAGTGGCAAAAAATTAACCCCCTACATGCTTGCTCGCCTAGCTTATTGTATAGCATAAAAATAACCCACTTCCTCCCCATTGGAGGACCTTAGTAGTACCTGCATAATAAAAGAATATTCTCTTGCAAGACAGACAATGCATATGTCAATTCAACTGATTACAGTGGAAACTAGGCTATAATCTCATCTGTCATCAGGAATCTAAAATCTAATTTTTTTTATAGTTTTGGGTTTCTTAGTCTTCTTAGATAAATAAATGCCATGTCATTTTGATCTGACTTATGATATGGTAAATGTTCCGTGACATTCTTATATATTCTCAATGTTTAGATGCCTCCACCGCCTCCACCAAGTGCTGTATCAGCTGACTGGTCTGGAAGGTAAAACAAGTTTCATTAAAATCCATGAAAACTGTTTTTATTTGGTTTGGATTTCAGATTGAATTCAAACAGTGCTGCTATGGCGGGTAATGCAGAGGATTTTACCAAGGTAAACTTATTATTTTTGGGTGTTAGGATTTTTATATTTGATAATGTTTAGGAGTTCATGAAGCAGCTAACAGGATCTGGAGTTTAAATAAACAGCAAATACTAAATATATGGTTTTAGTTACCGTGACAGAACCAAAAAGTTCCAGAATATTTTCCAAGTAATCAAATGGTTTGGCATAAATAGAATTGTGGTTTTCCAGAATATTAAAACAATGTGAAAATTCCTCATTGATATGGTCATATCCTCCAGGGATAACTTTAATTAAGGGACCAAGAGTTGATTCTTAAGTTTGACCATTAATTATACAAAGAATATTTTTTGTTCTAATTTTTCTATCAGTATTTTTCAAATCTAAAGTTATAGTTTTAATTACAGGGTGTCCCACATCGTATCGGAGTGTTTACTGTTTATAGCTTTAAAATAGAATTTTTAGAACAAGAGAAAGATGAAACATTAAGAATCTATTAACAAGGTTGATACTAAAATCTGCATCCAGATCTTGCAGGGTAAATATCTTGGAGTTAAAGCTTAGATATAATCCAATGTGATAAAGGGATGCTCTGTAGTATTTCAAGCAAAAAATTAACACTGTGCGTACTTGAGAGTTTTGTTTACAATTATTGTATTGATTTGTTACTTTATTTTTAAAAAATATAACTTATTCTGATGAGTAATGAATAATAAAAATGATGATCACCATTGAATTTCTAAACTAATTGAACCCTGCATTAAAGAAGAAATGAACAATGTGAACAGCTAGTGAGAGTTTTTGTGAAAATAGCCAATATCAAACTCAAGCTATTATTTCTATTTTTTTCTTGCATCTTTGGAGATTTTTTCTCTAAATCCTAAATATTAAACCACTGAAAAAAAACACTTGAATTTACTAAACCAATATAAACCAATTATGCTAAAATAAAAAAATGTTTGTTTCAAAAAGTTTTAATAAACATTGATCCTAATATACAGCACATTTTCAGAAATATCCTTTTAGAGGGTTTATATAAGTCACTTAATAGATGAGACTTCAGAATTAATTGCTGGCGAGAAATAAGTCATATTATTCCGTTTTTTAGATTCATTGTTCCCTGCAACTGAACAGTTGGTTTCAGGGGGAGACATCAAGGTCTCCTACTTTCTGGATAACCGTTTTTTTTTAGAAATGGAAACTATGACAAATACAGGAATGATTTGGCAAAGATTACAGTTTAGGGAATCAGCTGAGGAATCATAAGGAAACAGACAGTATAAATTCTGCACAGTCGTCTCTGAAGTCTTGTACATTTTGGGTATCCCTGTTTAGGAAGAACGCATTTTTTCTTTTTTGAAAAGAAGGGTCATTCCTATACAGTTTCTAGCTAATTCAAATTTATCTAAAAAGGGGTTTATGTTGGTCTCCAAAGAAGTTGGAATTTAAATAAAAATTGTATGGATACCATTCATTGTTGAATTTTTAATGCAGTAATAATCTAATATTTAAATATTTATTTCTTAAAAACAGTTTAAGTTGAAGAGCTAACTTTCTATAGGTTAAAGATAATTATTAAATATCCATACCTTGCAAGGTAATTCAGATAATAATATCATAACAAAGTTCATAAAGCAACAAAAATAACATATATTTTAGAAACAATCATTCTATTAAAATTTACAAAACATATATATTTTCATTAGGAGCTGCATAATTCAATACTTGTAAATCCTTTAATTGATAGATATCTTTGCAAAAGTCAAATATTGAGTAAAATATATAAATCTAAAATGTTGAACTTAGGATTTAAACAACAGAGACCACTGGTAGACTGGTTGAACTTGATGGACCTGAAATTAAGAATATTTTTCAAGGCTCAATAAAAGATTTAAAAAAATTATTTCAAGAATTTTAAATTGTTGCTGTGTACTTTAGGGTTAAGTAATAAATCATCTTATTGATGCTGCTTACCAACATAAATGCCTCCGTCATCAATGATTCTATTTGATCCAATTTGTGGCCCAAAATTGCGGGGGTTGAGTTCAATGATAGAGACATCTGCCGGCTGATTTAAAGGAGCAACAGTCGAGCTTCTGCAGCATATCATTTTCTTTAGCCTGATCAGCTTGCTGGTCAGGAAAGGACCGGTGACCTCTTTCTCTTTGATCACGTTTATAAGGAGAATTGCTAATGGTACTATGAGCAGAAGTGGTGACACATGTGGTAGAGTTTCTTCCGAATCCTCATCCATAAGACCAAGAAACCAAATTGTCATGAACCCTAAAATGGCAAGTATTCCAATGGTAACAGTCTTGAACGATGGACATTCAAAGAAGCCAAAAAACCCTTGTTCATTTTCCGTGTTCATGTACCACCAAACATATGCACTGGTCAGAAGAAGGATTGCCAAGTGAACCATCAAACACCATCCATTGAAAGCTTGGGCATAGTCAAAATCTTCCGTTTGGACACAAAATGAAAAGTATGCGTCCACAGTCTGAGTAACTTCTAAAGCAAGGTTCAAATGTAATGTTAAACTTAAACTGAAAATCTTATTTTAACAAGGGTTCCCAAGACCAATTTTGCCAAAAAAACAAGAGAGCATTTTGAAGGCAAAATTGGTGAGGGAACTCTTGGTTAAGTGTAAAAATTCTTTTCATAAGTCTCTAATGTAGGTCAAAAAGTGGTAAAACTATATAGGATACCTTCTGATTTAGCAGCCAGCACCAAAAATGTTGTAAACAAAGTGGTGTAGAAGGGAATTATTGTTCCCATTAACAATTTTGCCATCATCTCCTCATCATGGGATGTGAACCAAGCATTCTAAAATATATTTCTAGCAAATAAAATTCTGAAAAGGGGACTATTAAGAATCTAATTTTACACTCAAACTCCTTACATTTGATTATCGTTCTTTCATGAGAACGCACAGAACTGTCAAGAACAATCCCATCCTTCCGAAAAAAAGAATGAACGAATAGAATGTGTTCTTAAAAATATTGGAACGATTATTAAAAGAACAGAACGGAAATTGCTGGAAAAGAACGATAAAAATCAGGGACAAATTCTTAGACTATGAACACCAAAAATTGAAATGGAACTGAACAAGAACAGAACTATTGGGAAAAAAGGAACGAGAATTTGGAACAATCATGCTGAAGGCCCTTGTTCTAGAACAGAACGAAAGGAATTTAAAAAAGTCTGAACGAACCTAGCCCTAACTGATACAGATACAGGAGTCAATATACTTGGCCTAGCTCTGTATGCAGGACTAGCTGGTGCAAATATGTTGAGTGGTCTGTCTTTAGACTGTACCTGGTTAAATTTACAATGGACTGTACTTTCCCACAAGGATTTTCTGAAAAGGGAACTTTCCAATCAGGGGCGGAAAGAGGATTTAAGTGAGGGGGGTGCTAGATGTATTTCGGAACCAATTTTTTTAAAAATAGGTTTTTTTCAGTTTTGCACTAGGGTTTCTTTCCCTGAAGTGCTATTGAGAACTTGAAGCTATTCTGAAATCTCACCTTTGCACCCCCCCTGAATCCGTCAGGGGGGGTGCAAAGGTCCTGCCACCCCTATAACTGCCCCAGTAATCCCAAAGGTATTTTCCTAAGAAGCAACTTCCCAAATCAATGGCATATATAAGGGGGGGAGGGGTGAAAAGGTCCTGCCCCCCCCCCTGTAACCGCCCCAGTAATCCCAATGGTATTTTCCTATTGAAGCAACTTCCCAAATCAATGGTGTATAAAAGGGGTTTATTGGAGTTACTTACCCCCCGTCTCCCTAGAATCTTGGAGGTAATTACCCCCCCCCCCTAAAATCTAATCTTGTGGACATAAACATCCTTGATTAAAAACTTGATCTTCATTCTCAATATCCATGATTACCATTTAGAGGAAAATGTAAAAAATATGTCAAATTAGGTAAAAAGCTCTTCGGGGGAGGGGGGGGGGGGCAAAATAAAATGTTTAAATTTCAAAATTATTAAGAATTAAATTTTAAAAAGTAAGAAATTTCTCTTTTAATATATTGAAACTAACATATATACATACATATATAATATATGCACAATGATTGAAATAAATCCAGTTTTTTTAACAGAATAAACGTAGTCAATGTAACTAGTGAATATATCACGTATAAAAATATTTTTTCCAGTGTAAGGCCCTTAACATTCAGGGGAAAATATGAATTATTACGGGCACGGTAGTTTTTGATGTAGAACCTACCAAAAAAGCATTTTCATCCACTCCTCTTTCATGTCTTAATCTTAATCTTCTCTATGATGACTATATACTTTGCTTGTCTGTTTGTTTGTTTCTATCCAATAAGTATCCAATAAACGTTAAAAAGGCTGAACCGATCGGGCCCAAAGTTTTGTATGACCTAACGGGACCCTGCAGGGTAGATTTATTTATGATCGAATTTTCAAGAACTTGCTTTTAACAAATTCGATGTTTGATAATTTTGAAATCCGCAAATTTTTGTTCTTTGTTTTACGGTGTATTCAAAGAGAAAATATTAACAAATGAAATAGAAAAAATAAAAGCTAGTGATGAATATTCTTTAAAACAATGCAACTAAGTTCCCAGGGCTGATCTCCGCGGTCGATTTTTCCTATTGGTGGATTTGCTATTTTATAAGCTGTTTAAGAAGTCTCAATTTATAATATACAACCTTTAGGATATAAATTAAGTCCACTCATCCTCATCCTCATCTAATTATCATCATCTACTTGTTTGCCTGCAAGTTTACCGGTTTATAATGAGTTTTTGACCAATCTGACAGGGTTATCATGAGGCACCGGATTATCATGAGGCACTATCATGAGGTCCAAGAAAANGTCCCATGAATATACAATTTCCCCTGCGGCAACATCTCAAGCCTGTCCTAATGTCAGTGCTCAGCCCCTAGCTTGTTAATGAAGCAAATTTTGCGAGATTTAATTTGATCTAACCTGGTGAATAAGAAGCAACCTGCATGTTGATATCACTAGGTATCCTGTGCTAGCAACCCAAATACAGATCAGATATCCGTGTCTCAAACCCAAGGCAACATAAAGAGGCAGTGTGCTGATCATGCTACGCCACATCATGGGTACCCCCTACATTCAAACAAATTTTTTTTCGGTGTTTATGAAATTCTTAAAAAGTTAAATTAGATCATTGAAATTTTTGAAATTTTGACCACATTTTGAATAAACGTTTACAGTAATTTCAACAAACCATATGGTTGCATACTGGTAAAATGAAACTTTCATTGTGATAATTCACATCTACTGCTATTCTAGTAGAAATATTTAGTAAAATAAGTGCTACTCTTTTAATTTTCATAATAATGGAAAACAATTGCTTTTCATACCAGTGCGATTTTTGTTGGGCATACAACAAAAGATACATTTTTGGTTACTTTTCAGTTTTTATTGCGCAATTATTTATTACAAATATTGCAAATGAAAGCTTTAATGAAAGAACTAATTTGAAACCTGATTTGCATAATTTTTTTAGTTTTTTTCAAAAAAAAAGGCTAGACAAAGTTTATTACATCTTGGTCAACTTCAAAGGCATCAACGAAATGTTAAAATTAAGAACTTACTGCAATAATAATTGCTCCATTTAAGAACTCGATGATATATGCGTTGAGAAATGTCATGATGTTCTTGTTTACATCTGGAAGATTGGTGTTGAAGCTCCTCCAGGTCCATCTAAGAATGAACCCACCAAGAACAGCAACAATGTTAAAAATAAAGAACATTGGATGAGTCCAAGAGATCCATTTGATTGTGTTGTAATCAGCAACTGTGCAATTCATCTAAAAATATGCAAAATGTCAAATTTATGAAAATAGGAAGACATGTCAAGCACTTATGTCAATCAAAAAAGTGTATTGCAGTGTATTACACTACACTTCTACCAGACATTGTATAATGTAATCTTGTAGGTTGTGATTTTTTGATTCCATTAGACTTCCTGTGGAGCAATATTTATAGGATAAACACAAATGACAAAACCAAAACATGGTTAAAAAAACTGCAAAATAAAATAGTAAAAATAAAAAATTGGTATAAAATTTTAATGCTTAATTGAGTAACTTACTAGTTGAGTGTGTCTGTGGTAATTAAGGACTGATTTGAGATCAAAGGCTGTGATTGGATCAGTCTAAACATTTGGTTTTTACTTCTGAATATAAAACCCCTAGTTGTTTAAGAAGAATTCCTATGGATTGCAGAATTATTCACTGATTTTAGGATTTTAAGTATTCACTAGTTAAAATGTTTTACTATACAATGTTTTCTTTTGTCGGAGAAAGAGGTAATGCCGGAATATTTCTCTGGTTTTAGACTGATCCGAAATAAAGGGAGGAAGGTAGGAAAGGACAACCTAACGCTAGATAGAGTATGAGGCAGATTTATATGTAACAAATATGCCTTTGATTAGATATGTGAATCTCAAAATTTGATAATAAGGTCTGCAGTGAGTAGGAGCCAACATTTTTGACTCCTTAAAGAACTGTAAAGAAAAATGAAAGGGGGTATTGGGGGAGTTAATAAAAAACTTAGTCAAATTTATTTGAAAATCTATATACATATATAAAATTTTGTATAAAAATAGTAGGATTTGAACAAACAGATCATATTAAGCCAATACTTAACCAATCTGAAAACAACAATATCCCAAAGAAGCTTAAAAAACTTAGGTTTGCTCCTATATATTATTTGAATTTAATAATTTTTCATTTTTAGTAGATATAATTGATAATATAACAAATATGTCTGTATCATGTGACCAGAACTTCCACTAATGGCAGTGGAGTATCATTAGTACGTGACTCTGTCTGTATCACATGACCAGTATACTGCACTGCCATTGGTGGGAGTTCTGGTCATGTGATACTAGCTGAAGTGCTGAAGTATATATATATATGTTAGCTATAGCTCGCACAACGGTTCGAACAAATTGACATTTGAATTAAAAAAGTTTTATTTCAAAATCGTTTTTCCAGGGGCATTTTAGGTATTAATAACAAGTCTAGATATTTGTAGCATTTTTTACGTGTTTCATGTTAGTGAAAACTTCTATGTTTTGTGTAGCTCTACCACTAAATTTTGTATTTACAAAGGAAAGTTTTAAAAGTTAAAGTTCAACATGTTATACAGTGATAACCAGAAAACTGTGGAATTTGAAGACAACTTTAGGAATCAAATTATAACTTTAAAAAGTCCAATGAGCTCAAAACACAACAATTATGCAGTGTAAAAAGGCCCATTTCAATGAAGTAGAAATTTAGCAGGTGTCAAGATATATACAGGGTGATTAAAAAAAGTGTGATTTGCGGCGCCTGTTTCAAATTGTACCTTTTTTGTGCAACTCTCCTGTATGGTGTTTTTTCAATATTTTTTGAAAATTTTTTATTTTTTTTGGGTATTTCAATGACCCCAAAAAAAATCCCCGAACCTTTTCTTCTCTCAAAATCAAAAGATTAGAAAAAGAAAAATGTTAAAATAAATTATTCCTATCGAAATCTAAAATTTTTAAAAGATTGAATGAGAGAATCTCAGAAAATTTGCAAAATTTTAATTAGAAAATTCGCAATTTTCAGTTCTGGATAATTTTTACGGAAAAATAGTTTTTCAATGGTTCTTAAGGTTTCAAATGAACAGCGTATATTTAATACTTGAAAAAACTAAGAAGAAAGGAACTAGACAATTTAAATTACTTTTCCTTAAAAATTAGACCAGAACTAAAAATTGCAAATTTTCTTATTACAATTTTGCGAATTTTCTGTGATTCTGTGATTCAATCTTTATAAAATTTTAGATTTTGATAGAAATAATTTATGTACACATCTTTGCTTTTCTGAACTTTTGATTTTGAGAGAGAGAAAGGTTTGTGGATTTTTTTTGGGCCATTGGAGTACCCAAAAAAATGATAAATTTTCAAAAAATATTGAAAATACACCATACAGGAGAGTTGCACACAAAAGGTACAATTTTGCACCAGGCGCCGCAAATCACACTTTTTTTTGACTCACCCTGTTTATATATATATATATATATATATAAACTTATGTATACAATATTGATGTATATCTGGGTGAAGATCTTTATTATATGGATAATCTACCTGTTTTCGTTTCTTATCTCCCTCTGTGAAATATTAAGAGAGCAGAGCTTTTAAATACTTAAATATTTCTCTTAAATTATCTCCTCTCTCGCTCTATCGTTGAGAACTACAAGGTTGCGGAGTGATTTGGACTTTCGTCCGATTGAACTAACTTTAATTTCAAGTGGACCTTCCTTCACTTAAAGAGGTGAATGCTCAATCTACAATCTACCCTTGAATTCTTCATCGTCGTTTTCTAGCTAAAAATCATTAGAGGTCTCTAGAGAAAGTGTTGGATCAACAAGGATAAGAGCTGCATCCCTGGAAAGGATGCAGACAGGGAGTATTATAAGTAGTAGTAGTGCAAGAAGTAGCATTAGAAATAAGTATCTGGTGGTAGAAATCAGTAAGAATGAACAGGAAGCGGAAAAAAGTAGTTGGAGTGACACCAGAGGATGAAGCAGAGAAAAATAGTCAAAAAGATAAGGAAGGAATTAATAAAATTTCAGGTCAAAACTAAAAAATTGCAAAAGTGAAAAATTCAGTGACACTTCGTCCCGGGCAAGGGGCATGGGTCCATTTGATTGAGGGGTCTTGGCAAAATTTTGAGAATGATTTTGTTTTTCCAGTCCTATTTAACACTATTGTTGAGAAAAAAGTTATTTGCTTTAAAATTTTCCCCATGGGCAGGAGTGTCATGTTACCCTGCAATTTACATGATTAACCATAATAACGATATCTTTGTTCAGTTGAAGAGAGAGGAGAGCCTGGGAAAGCTGATCAGCCTGGTAGCACGAGGGGAGCCCAGACTGGACAGTACCAAGGCAGGAGGGGCACGGGAGTAAACACTGCCCAGCTATTGTTTGTGGGCCTGATTGCGGTCTTGGGGGAGCAGGTCAATGCGGAGGACAACCTCCTAGAATTGGCTCTGGACTGTACACAAAGCTCCAGTATAAAGAGGTTGGAGAAGGAGACGATGGAGTGGAATCAGCTGGGTAGCATATGGTTATTTCTTAGTGAGAACTGCAGCTCCAATCTGGCATACTCTCAGCTTTGCTATGATTTGTGAAGGCTCCATCACAGCTGTGTCATTGGTTAGCTGGGTAGCTAGGATTGGGATCAGATCGTGCAAGACAGGTTATAATAAACCAAAGGCCGAGGACTGCTAGTCCTCTTCTCCATCCTCTACCATGTGCATGGATGGATAAGGACGCTTTAAGAAGTGTGAACATATTATCTTTGTGCAAGAAAGTGATTATCAAAATCACTCAACACTTAAAGTTGAGAAACAGCGTAGCTGATATATTCGGAGCTTGGTTAGGCACCTGCCTCCAGGATGAGGATAAGGTGGTTAGAGCCTCCCCTGACGAGGCCATAGTGACGTTAAAAGATCATGGGGCTTATGTAGCGGTGGCGAGAATTTGATGATCTTTTAAAGGAAAATTCAGGATTAAAAATAGACGAACCCTGATTAAGCGTAGCTGATATATTCGGAGCTTGGTTAGGCACCTGCCTCCAGGATGAGGATAAGGTGGTTATAGAGCCTACCCTGATGAGGCCATAGTGACGTCAAAAGATCATGGGGCTTATGTAGTGGTGGCGAGAATTTGATGATTTTTTAACGGAAAATTCAGGATTAAAAATAGACGCACCCGGATTGTACATGTTTATAAATAGAATAATGCCAGCGTGAAACCCGAGTTTATTTACCTGACACTAGTAAGGGGGCTAGTAGGGAAGGTATGACGGACATTGACCCAGGGAGTTTGATAAAGCTAGGGATTTCCAAGCTCAACCTGCCGGGTTAACTTATACCCGGAGAACAGGCAGTTCAGCTAGAGGTTCCAAGGCAGAGATCAAGATCCGTATAGCTCAATCCTCTTGGCTTCAATATTATTTATCATTAGTATCATTTGTATTTGTACACTTATTAAAGTATTCGTACCGTATATCGTTTAATATCGGGTGAATGAGTTCTTCATTGTTTTGTTTGTTTCCGGAGTAAAATATATCTCCCTATTTCGATTTATTCATATACAACAGTAAAATAAAGTTTTTAGGGAAAGCTAAATTTTGAAGTAATACATGTTTTTATATTGTATATAATAATAATGTTTATTGTGTAATATGTCTCTTAATCATCATCATAACGCAAAACCAAAAGCACTGATAGTTTGGTACAGGGTGTCCCACATCACGTTAGATTATGTATAGCTTTAAATCGCGATTTTTGGGACTAATCAGAAAATTTAAAAAGAATAAATCATTTTAAAAATTTGTATAAGGATAATTTAAAAATGTGCATACATAAAATACTATATAGGTTGTTAGAGTTAATATGTGCGTATTCTGGTGTTAAGGTTAGGAGATAATCTCTAAAACTCTTTATACTCAATGAAAAAAGTAAGAAATATTTTGTCTACTATTAAGGCTTTAAAATTTCTTTACTATGCTTTAATATATCCTTATTTTCTCTATTTTCTTCCAGTATATAGCTCGACAAGTTAAAAGAATTTAAACTTATTATTACAACTTCAATATATTATATATTTAGCTGGAGCCAAATTTAACGCGCATACTGATCCATTATTTTAATAATATCGCATAACTTAATGTATTGAACTTACTCTTCAATTGATTTATGGGGATTTTGTTTCAAAATATCCACCATTAAAGAAAAAAATATCACAGAAAGTTTCGTTAAAAATGCGAATTAATGGATCGACGACCTTTTACTTAGAAGTCTTTTAAAGTTGATTACAAAAGGTTTGAGGCATGAATGATTGGAGGATTTTAAAAAGGCGAATTAAAGAAATACATTGGTGAAAATAAAACTGGGGAATATAAAGACGACTTTTGAAATCAATTTTTGATTAAATAGTTCAATGAACATAAAATACCGCAATTGAGCAGTGAACATGCAGATTGTCTAAATTATGCCTTCAAATTCCGGAGTTTTATGTATTCAAATTCAATGAACAATTCTGATAAATTCAGGTTCGTCGGTGCCACTGCAAAGCAAAGTAACATGTATGATACTCAACTGCCACGCCAACCAAGAATAGGAGAGTCTGCGTTTACAATACGAAGGCTCTTTAATTTGATCACATGAATTCCTCACGCTGAAGATCCCGATTTTGTAAAAACTTTTATTACATTGTTAAATAAATATAATGACGTTATATTTTTCAATAATTCATTTAAATCAGGTAGAGAGAGAATTCAATCTTGAATGAAAAAGTAATGAGATAATTGATCACTGTTGAAAAGTGTAAGGTTACTTGCATAAAAGATACAAGACATTAATTTTCTTCTTATAAACACTTCATATACTTCAAACCAAAAGTAAATGTTCCAAGGGAGCTGTTAGATGTAATTTCAAGTTACCAACCCATAAAAGGTCCTATCAACAACGTTACCATTTAAACAATTGTCTGGGTAACGATGAGGAAAATATCGTCGTTATTTCAACTAAAAAGTTTTGTTTAACATCGTCTTGGTGGTTTGCACTATAAAAAAGTAAATATACATTAAACCGATACATATTTGCACGCCTATGCAGAAGATAATGATCTCATATCGTGCCTGATATCCTGAAAAGATTTAAATTTTGATCAATCTTGTACTGAAAATGTGCAAGCTGGTGTTTTTGAGAAACTGCAATGGAAAATGATCAGTTTTAGAAGTATGGCTATTCATCATAATTCAGACAATGCATATGCTTTGACAGGTACTGTTGTGATTCAGACTTGCCACTCAATAAATGATGGATCCTTTGAAAATATAAATAAAGACTCTAAAAACAAAAAGACAATCCGGCTGACAATGTATCATATGCGTTCATTGAACTTATAAATATTGATTCAGCAGAAGTATTAGCAATGCATTCTTGTTGACGTTGACAGACTTTGACATCTAGCTTTAGCAAAGGGTTTGCTGACCGTAGATAACAGAAATCATTGCAAAATTTTTAGTCAAACAATAATTATTAGAATTTAATAGAACCCTATTCAGACGACCTATGTCGGAATATAATGAATTTTATCCTCGTCTTAAATCCGCTAAAAACCGATTCAATTGAGCGCCGGCTTAAATCTTGAAGCTATGAATACGATTTTAAGTGGAATCAACCGTATTTGAGCCCGAATTAAATTCTTTAAGTTCGGCCTCTTGCCAATGATAGCAGATCTGACAAACTATAAGCTTTCATTATTAGGGTGACTCAAGTACAGTAGGTGGCAACTGAGAAATGGACCATTTATACGCGACATCACAAGTGTCAAATATAACAAGAAATTTTTTTTCTTCCTCCAATTTGGTTTACATTTGTTCCAAGATTAAATGAAATAATGTAAAAACAGAAAATAAAGAACACATACAAATTTTCTACTGTAAGATAAGCACTTTATTCCAAAATTATCACTATTATTAATAATTTTGTCGTACACAAAAACTAAGTTGACACTTATGACGTAAGAATACAAATGTACAAATTCTACGTTGCTATCTATTGTACTAGAATCTAATTGGGGTGACTGAAAAACAAACTTTTTAAATTTATGCCAAGCTAAGTAACATACTTAACTAACACAGAAAACATAATAAAGATTTAATCATACATGTATTTGTTCCAAATAAACTTTAAACTGACAATTTTTCTACATTTATTGTTCGAAGCTGAATATCTGCAAACAGGACAATGGTGTTAATTTTCAGACGCGACTTGTCATTTAACGTTCTAATCGCAAACGCAGGCGAATGGAGAAATTCAGATCGGTTATTTTCACAGTTAATTAGTTCGATAATTGGTTCATAATCATATTTAAAACAGATTGAATATAGTGATAGTAATAAACTAACCTAAATATACAAAGTTTAGGCATGTAGTTAAAAAATTAAAACTAAGGGGTTCTTATTGAAAATGTCTAAGATTTCTCCAAAACGTTTAGGAATTAATTATCAAAGTTCTTCTTTAAGTATTTTTGCCAAAAGTTGGGTTTGTTGAGAAACATTAGAACAGATTAAAATACCACAAAAAATATTGAAATAAGCCCATTAGTGGTGAGTAACATGCTTTTAATGAATAAGGAAAATTCCAAATAAAAAACTCCTCTTCAATAAAAAAATAGTAAATTAAGGCTTGGTAAAAGTATGAAAATGTTTCCTGAATAAAAACAGTAAGGATATCACAAGTTTAATTGTGAAGTCGGGATTTAGAAAATTCACCAGGAGATGTCCAATTTGCGCTACTCGTCCGCTTGAAAAATCTAAAAAAACCATTTAATAGTTTAATATACAGAAATGACAAAAATTCTCATTTTAAAAAATTTCATCGACTGCAAAAGGTTTAACAGAGTTTCTTAACATTTAATATTGCTAATGTCCCCCCCCCCCACTAAGATTTCATTAGTATAAGAGTTCAATATTTTATATATAAAAAACATTTTTAAACAGGAAATGGAATCTAGTCTATTTTCAGAGATTTCTGCATTGGCTGATCTAGATGTTATATTTTGTATATTTATCAGTAAAAAGCTTCTTAATCGTAGGACCAAAACGTAGTGTCAAAAAACTACGCGAACATAATATAGTTTTCTAATCAATTGCAAATAGGAACATATCAAAAATGTAAAATTTCTATGTTTCAGGTGTATCTATGAGCGTTACTGTGATTTAATCAATATTCGAAAATAAGAATATATCTTATTTTTAAATAGATTAAGAAGAATTAAGATTAAGATTAAGAGGAAAGTATTAAAACAAAATATTGAATTTTTCTTGAACCTAGCTCCCACGATAATTAAATGTATGTAATTTCCCTTCCCTTAAAAATTTATACCTTTTCTTCTGCTGATCGAAGATTTTGCATAAATCTGGCATCTCCATGGTGTCTCCAAACAGGAGTTCTAAGTTAGGTGGCACATAGTTCTGCTTGAGTAAAGCAGAACGAAGAACAGACCCCTGGGCCCACTGTGGTACCTAGACGTAAAAAAAATTATTCATCCATTATGACTCGTATCTATTTAAGAAAGAAATAACATATTCTAAAACTTCGTTGCCCATATTCCACATGATGTTAGGTACTTTCCCCAAGACTTTTTCCTAACGATATTTCCCCAAGTGGCAACTTACCAAGTCTATCCTTACCACAGCGCTCTTCGGTCACTAACCTATTCTAACCGCAGGGCCCCCCATCGCAACCTAGCCTTCAGCGCCTAAGAACGCCTAACCTAATGGAAAGTTTCTGCTTTGAAGAAAACCTAACATCTTGAATACTTTCAATCCTAGATGCCTATAATCTGTATTCAAACGAAGAATAACCCGTACAAAAATACGAAGAATTTCCGTTCAGTTAAAATGTGAGACTAACCTCTTTTCTAGGATTATCATCCTCGTCCGTCTCATCTCCTGAGTTGAGGTCGTCTAGACCATAATCGTCCTCGGTCCTCGAGGGTTGAGGAGGAAGATCAATCCTAGCTGGGGTCATGTCGTAGGACTGAGTACTCTAAACATAATGTTTTAAATCATCTATATATCTATATATTGGGTAAAAGGTAGAAGTCAGTAGCAAAAATAAGCGGATACACGGATCCGGGGCAAAATATCAACCAAAACTGCAAAAAAATCTATTTTTACTCTCAATCTTCAAATCTGAATTGTTAAAAAAAGAGAAATTAAAAAAATTTCTTGATCTCTCATTCAGAGATCAGGAAATTCATCAAGTTTAAAATAAAAATAAGCGAAAAAGAAGGAAAAAATTGACTATACAGTTTGCTTAGTTGATTTAAGGATTTTATTTAGATATTCTAAAAATTGTTTCCGATTAATTTCCCTTTATAAAAAAAACTTCAACAAAAAATATTTATTCATTCATAATTTCTTATATTTTGATCCATCATAACCCAGCTTTAAGCTACCTAAGCTCTCCTGCTGCAGTAGTTTCACCTAATAAAACTTTTCCCTCATAAATATTTTTTTAAGCTTTAGCTGACTTAACGGCTGATCCAAATAGACTTATATTTTTTGAGAAAAAAACCATGGGTACCCCCCGGGCAACGGGCTCTTTAGTTAGTATCAAATATAATTATTACTGCAGTAAAATCAAATGATTTGAACTTAAAAGTAAAAAAAGATCATCCTGTGATAATCGTTGTAAATTGTTTTCGATCGTTCTTAGAAAAAAATGAATAAAACTTTGAAAATTTGAAAACTATTTTATGATTAACTTTGATTTTATTAAAATTAGCAATATCTTTAAAATAAAAACTACAAAGTCCAAAAACGGTCCGAAAAAACGATCCGGAAAACGATCGTCACATCACTACCTGCGACGAGTTGATGGTCTGAGTAGTGTTCAAGGTCAGATTCTTGTTTACAGGTTTATCGTAGGTAGAATTCAAGTCGGTCACCTAAATAGAGGAAGATTTGTTGCATATAAAAAACCAATATTTTTCTCTAAATGTCTAAATCTTCAACTGTCGGTTTTTAAATAAAATTTCCAGAAATTCTTTGTGATTAAAGAGAGATTAAAGAAACTAATTACTTGAATAAGATTACTTATGTTTGATGATTTAGATTCAATTTTTATTTTCTCAACCTGTTCCTAAACAACTAATTAGTTCACAGTAGAATTTTGTTCACATTTTTTGTCGTCGTTATTTAATAGTTAAAAAAAATTATCCAACACCATAAGTACGATTTTGAACGTCACCTTTGCGCTCAAACTCAGGATTTACAGATTTTTAAAAAGTTTTATATGTGTCTCAAATAAATCCTAAAGAATTTGTCCACAACACTGCATACTCAGTTTAACTACCCGAAGGCAAATCACTACCTGTGATGAGTTGATGGTCTGAGTAGTGTTAAAGGTCTGATTCTTGTTTACAGATTTATCGTATGTAGAATTCAAGTCGGTCACCTAAATAGAGGAAGATTTGTTACATATAATAAATAAGATAATATTTTTTTTGGATTTAGAAAATCTAGGAAAATTAGTTTAAATACTAACTACGCTGAATTTAAGACTAAGACAAAGTTCGATTCCTGAGATATGTTAGGATTCATTTTTAAGACTAATTTAAAAACCGGTTGCTGACTGACAAAATCCACCAAAACTGATCTAATTTTAAACAATAATAGTTGAGATTACGGAAGTCAACTCTAAAATAGGAAAATTTTCAATAGCAGGCTCAATTTGTTCAAGTAGATATGGGCACTGGGCAGGCGTTTTAACATTTAAATCCATTTACAGTACACTGTACAGTACAGAACATCAACAAAACTAAAAATTCTACATGATGTTTTAAAAAAAACGCTCATTTAGACATTGTAGCACTCGTCCGGGTTGAATTTTTAAATTTTAAATTAGACATGTAGCAGAAAAACTAAAGTAGTAATAACAGTTTGAAATATGACATTTTGACTTAAGTTTTAGAATTTGAATTTCATTAGGGCCTGAAAAATTGCAAATCTTTCAAACAAATCCTAAAAATGCGCAGTTATTCTTGAAGTCGATTATCATTTTAAATATATTTTTATCAATTTTCTTATTCATTTTGTATAATTGTGACCCTTATGATAAACAAATCTTAAAATGCGCAGTTACTTTTGAAGTCGATTAACATTTTAAATATATTTTTATCAATTTTCTTATTCATTTTGTGTAATTGTGAACCCTTATGATAAACAAATGAAATAAAATGTAAATGCAATAATACTTATCACAATGACAATATCAAATTTTGAACCAAGCCAAAATGTCAAATTTCATGCTGTTTTTACTTCTTCAATTTAAACTTTAAAAATTGAACCTTGTTGAGAGCTACAATGTGTGAAAGTTTTTTTAAATTACCTTATTTTATTTATTAATTAAAAATAAAATAAAAACGGGAATAAATCTCTGCAAAAATTTCCATCCATTAAGAATACAAAATAACAAATTCATTACCTTTTGTTTTTCAGCTTCTCGTTCTTGAAGTTTTCTCATTTCCTCTCTTTCCCTCATTATCCTTTGTTGTTCTGTTCTCTTCACTTCCTCCAACTTCCTCTTCTCCTCCATCTTCCTCATCTTCCTCTCCTCCTCATCCCTCATCCTTCTCTTCTTTTCTTCCTCCTCCTCCCTCTTTCTTCTTTCCTCCGCCATCTTGTTCCTTTGCTCATTTTCCTTCTTTTTCTTCTCCGCTTCTTCTTTTAACTTCTCTTCTCTCTTCTTGATAGCAGCAAGCTTTTCTTCAGTTTCTTTCGCCTAAAATATAAGGTCTAAATAGAAATCAATTGTTCCTGGGTAAAATCCAGAAAATCCATAGAAATTTAGAGTTTCACAAACAGAAAAATGGTGACTTGAAATAACATTAAAAAAATAAAGGTATTACTAAAAGGTGCGCGAAGCGCCCTAAAAGCATTGTAAGCAAATTTTTTATCAATGCTTTTTAGTGGCCTTACTCTAAGCACTTTAACTTAAAAGCGAACACAATAGATATTGAATTTAGTTCATGAAGTTAAGCGATATAACAAACAAACAATTAACATCGGGACAGCCTGTAAAAAGAAGGGATGATTTACCTGGGTTTTCTTGAGGTTGGATTCCTTCTGATTCTCCTTCTGCATCCTGGCCTCCTGAACCCGCCTAACCCTCTCCTCCCTCTTCTCTCTCTGTTCCTCAGCTCTCTTCCTTAAGTGCTCTTCTCTCCTCTTCAAAGCGTCCTCCTCCTTCTCATGCTTCCTCCTTAACTCCTCCTCCTTCTGCTCCTGTATCTCCTCTATAGTTGGAGGTTTAGGTTTAACACCAGTGATTAATCCTGCCAAACTCAATCCTAAAATATAGTTGGAGGTTTAGGTTTAGAACTAAGGATTAATCCTGCCAAACTCAATCCTAAAATATAGTTGGAAGTTTAGGTTTAGAACTAAGGATTAATCCGGCCAAACTCAATCTTAAAACCAAGGATTAATCCGCGTTGGAAAGATGTGAATTTTTGCTGGTAAAGGGGATTAATAATTTAAACTTTCATGCCTCAGGAATCAACTTTACAGTATTACTCATTATTAAATCTGTTATTAATGTACTTTATTTTGATGAAAACCAAATTGGTCCCTTTTAAAGAAAAATCTCCTTTCAAGTCTGATACAGGATCAAATTATTAAAAATCCCCTCTATTTGGAATAAATAATTGCCAATAAAGCTTATTTAATGACGTGAAGAGTCCTCGTTAATAGTGATATGTATCAATCAAGGGTACATACTACATATATCTAACAGATTTGTCAACAGCTTTCAAATTTATCCGCACTAACAAGTTAGGTTTCTCCGCCTGGTTTTTTTTTCAATTGCTATTACTAAAGGTGGGACCAATTGGCACTTGTATAGATATATTTTGCTTGTCTGTTAGTCTTTTTGTATCCAATAAACGCCAAAACGGCTAAGCTGATCGGGCCCAAACTTTTAGTGGGTACCTCACTTAACCCCAGGGAAGGTTTATGGATGATCGACTTTTCAATTTTTAAAACTTTTGAATCCAAGAAATTTTTTTGTTTTACTATGTATACAAAGATAAAATGTTCACAATTGAAATAGAAGATAAAAGATAAATATAAAAAAATCCAAAGATAAAGGATCAATGTAAGAATATCCTAATATAAAAGATCAATATAAAAATTGTTAAGATAAAGGACCAGTATAATAAAAATCCTAAGATAAAGGGTCAATATAGAAATTAAGCTCTTAACATCTCAGACGTCAAGAAAATAATTCATATCAATTACTTGTTTTTACTTGATTAGCAAAAATATCCACGTCTTCTCCAAACTTCAACCCCCTCTCATTGAGCGTAAAGAAATTAAATACACCCCTGGTAAAAAAGAACTCCCTCCCCCTGGCCCCCGGTAGCATTATATAAAAAAATTGAATAACCATTTATTTGTTTATTTATTATGGCAACCATAAAACCACGAATGGAATTAGACATCACGCCCGTCAGTACCTTCATGGATAAATGATACAAGGTCATGTTTAGGTAAGGTTTGATAAACGATCATGGCTCATTGATGTTTGACCATAAAAACCATAAAAACTTGTTTCTTTACGTCAATCCAATTAAATAAAATAAAATAAAATTATATCTTAGAAAAACAAAATTGCCAATTGTTGACGGATGTTGATTGTATTTAAATAACAGATGTTCTCTGTATTTACTGATGAAGTATTTCTTGCTTATATTTATTAAGCTCTGACATCCTTGGTACTTTTATCATATGAGATGGTCCATCCTTGTTAATATTTACCTAATACTTTTATCATATTAGATGGTCCACCCTTGTTAATATTTACCTGGTACTTTTATCATATTAGATGGTCCAACCTTGTTAATATTTACCTGATGCTTTTATCATATTAGATGGTCCACCCTTGTTAATTGTGTCAAGTCTACTCCTAATCTTGTTCAAGGAAGCTGAGGTAGACCCAGAACCAAAACCTTAAAAGTTAAAATTCATATTATTTTAGGAGCTTTAAATACTAATTCAAGAAATCCAGTTCAAGAGGAGAATGCCCGATTCACAGCGGTACTCTCATTTATCTGACCAATAAAAGGAAAGATATCATCGCTTTTTTTTCTTGAAAAATAAAGAAATTCTGATATTTTTCTCTATAATTTTGCATAAAATCAAATCCCAATCAAATCCCAATCCCAATCCCCATCCCATCCAAATCATCCCTATCACTAACATGGTGGTAAATATTTTCAAATTTCAATGATTGGAATTGAATATTGACCTGATTTACCGCTCCCGACAGCAGGACTTACACCCCGCCCTCCACTTGCTAACACCTAAACAATACAATATTTTGAGTTGATCTTCTCTATTTAGTATATAATAAAGATCTTCGCTTATATATATATATATTTATATGTCAGCTATTTCTTCTTCAAAATTATTTTTTTTATTTCAAGGGCAACGCAAGTCACTTGAGCTTGTATACAATATTTTTGCTGATATTTGAGTTGAAATACGCAAAAAAATTTTAGTTCAAAATACATTTTTTCATTTCACGGGCAACGCGGGCACTTGAGCTAGTATACAACAATTTTGTTGATATAAAATATTTGAGTTAAAATACTATATTTGAGTAAAATACAATATTTTAGTTAATATGCAATATCTAAATAAATCCTTAAAAGACATAGTCGTTGATATTTCAAGTGACCTTTAATTTAAAGAGGAATATTCCCGATTCACAACGATACCCTTTAACCTTAAAGGGAGTGACCGGACATGAATGTTAGTTGAACTGAGATTGCAGTATTATTAAGAATTTTTTAATGATTCATTTGAGACCTATCAGGCGTTTTTATTGTGCAGTTTTGTTCAGCAGGAGCGCAAATTCAATCTTTAAAATCCTAATAAATTGACCAATTTAGAGAGATGATTTTGAGAATCGTATTTATTAGATTATTTAATGACGACCATGAAAAATTTAACAAAAAATTCGACAGTAAACAAATAAATTGTTTAGGAACAGATTGAGAAAATAAAAATAACTCTTATAACCGAAAGAAGTAACCTTATTCAGTTATTGGTTTCTGAAATGTCTCAATGTACAAAATCATCTCTTTAGATTTCCTAGAATTTTTAATGAAAGGACGACATTTGAAGAATTTGAAGAAATCTGCGAACAAATTCATAAATAATAAGAAAATCAACATAATGATGAAAAAGAAACATTTGATTCTAAATTGATTTATTGACATTTTTTTTTCTGAAAAATATGTTCCTAAACATTTTACTGTAGAAATTTTGTTACATTTTGCTTCGTCATTTATAAATAATTTTTATAAAATCGATTCTCAAAATCATCCCTCCAAAATGGACCATCAATGAGGATTTTAAATATTGAATATGCGCTCTTGCTGAACAAACATGCACAATTAAAACATATGATGGGTCTCAAATGAATCCTAAAAAATTCTCAATAATAGTGAAATCCCAGTTCAAATGCCATACATTGCCGGTCACTCCCTTTAATCTGTTAAATAATGTTAAGTAATATTATAATAACCTTTTTTGGTCTGATCATCTTCTCTGTCGGAGCTTTCTCAAACCCATGTAACTTCTTCTTTTGGTTCTCACAACTTTCACCTTTCCTGTACATACACAGTTTAAACAATTATGTAAGCATGCATGGATTGTATGTTTGTATTTGTGCATGGGTGTATGTATGTATGTATGTATGTATGTATGTATGTATGTATGTGTGTATGTGTGTGAGTGTGTATGTGTGTGTATGTATGTATGATGTTCGGCCCCTTTCCAAAAGATTTAATTTTTTTCGTCTTTCAGTTTTAAAATCCTCAATTCCATCATTGAAATTGTGAAATTTATTCTATTCTGTCGTATAAAACGTTAAAATAAAATTATAATTTGAATATTTTTTAAATCTTTATAAAGAAGACCGAACACATTTTCCAATATTAGGTCCGCTTTTGAAGGTTAAAACGGCATTTGAGAAAAATCATTTATTGAAGACTCCTCCCATTTGGGAATTTTCTACCACCTAGAAGCACTTTCAAGCACAGTTAACGATATCTATTAGGCTAAAAAGCCTAAAGACTTTTTTCAGTGACACCCTGTATCTTTGACGCACTCGAGATAAAATAGTTTTCTGTTTTACACCAATATTTCACAAATAAATGATGTATAACAGCTTCTAATTCGCCTTAGGATTGCATTTTTTCAACGTTCCTTTTGTTTGTAAAAAAACAAGGTTAGGATCTATTCCATTTTTAATAAATATTTCAACCAAGTTTTCATTTTATCTTTAGTTATTATAAAATATTAGATTTTCCTCTTTTCGAACTTACGTTTTTTAAATAAATATTTTTTTTCGTCACCTTTTGCTCGCTGACACTCGACGAAGACTGTTTGTGACCGATGACCGTTTCTGTTTCGTCATCCGACCACTCTGTGACCGGCGGAGCGGATCTTTCCGCCCTAAACCAGCCGAGTCCCGCATAGCTGCCTCGAACAGATGAACTCGTTCTTTGATGGGAGATCCTGCATTGAAAACATATCTATAGCTTTTCTTTGCTTGTCTGTCCGTCTGTAAATGTGTTTATCCAATAAACTTCAAAATGGCAGAACCGATCGGGCCCAAATTTTGTGCGGGACCTTACATGACCCTAGAGAAGGTTTATGGATGATCCAAATTAGCCGAGCCAACAAATTTCGACCTCATTAAATTTTGATAAACCACGTTTTTTTTTAATAAATTCCGCGATTTTGTTTGTTATTATGTTTTCACAGAGAAAATTTTCACAATAAAAATAGAGGATGGGCACAGCCTAGTTTAATATATAAACGTGAACAAATTTTAAAATTTATTTTAAAGCTGGATATTATTTTAAAAAATGGATATGCAAACTTATAGATCTGTAAAAATTTCAAAACAAACGCTGGGTTAGCTACTGACCCCCAGTCTGACACGTCATTAACACGTTACGATACGTATTATTTGTATATCCCAAAAATAATTGAACAAATTTATAAGAGTTTAATTTTTTGTCTCATGAAAAAAATTCCAAAATCCGTGAAAAACTGTTTTCTAACCTGCAAACGCATGTTGTCTGGGGGAGGGCATGTTCTTCCCACCAGGAGAAAGTGCTCTAAGAGCAAGTTCTTTAACTCTGGGAGAAGCGAGGGCTCTAGTTAGTCCTTCTTTATCACTTCCTTCACTCCCACTCTCCAGAAGGCGCTGTTTCGTCCTCGTGTTCCGCCTCAACGGTTCATCATTAGTCACCGAGGAACTAGACTCGGCTTCTAGAACCCGTTGTTTTGTTCGAGTGGAACGTTGCTCTGCAGGTTCTGCAGTCTTCTCTAGGTTCCTCTGTTTAGTACGGGTAGAACGGACGGGGTTAGCTAATTCTATATCCAAAGACTCGGTTTCAACCGTCTCAGGTTCCAGGTTCCTTTGTTTAGTTCGGGTAGACCTAGTAGGTTTATCTGGGTTCTGATCTACGGGTTCAGGTTCAACAGTCTCAGGTTCTGGGTTACGTAGTTTGGTTCGAGTAGAACGAGAAGGTTTAGAGGTCTCCTGAAATCATTTAAACATTTTTAAACATCATTCGGTGGATAAGAGCTTATGGCACACTAAAGAAGAAGTTTAACAAGTTCTAGTAGTTCAACTATCTCTTACTTTGTATTGAATCTGAACTAATTTAAACTAAAAATATGATAAAGAGGAGGGAAGGGGGGGAAAGTAAGTGTTGAAGTACATGAATGACTGTTCACAGATCACGACAAAAATGGGAAACTTCATTTAATTAACATACCCGTAAAATGTCATTAAAATTACGAATTTGTGCAGGGATAAGTATGAATATTGCCGGAATTAATTTTCAGAATGAAAAATGATGATCTTACTCATATTGTTACTCAGATGATAGATTTGAAGAGTACTGCTGTGGATTGGACACATGACTGTTAGAAACAAGGGTCACTAGAAATTTTGTTGCCAGTTACGTTTAATAGATTTCTACTAGCTTAAGGCCAGCGTTGACCGTGGAAAAAATTTTTGAATTTTTTTTAACCGTTTAAACCACAGGACACCCCAAAAAATTCGGCCCAATCAGTCTAGCCGTTTTGCCGCTATACGCAACATATATATGAATATCTTGTGTCCACAAAAAATGTCACCCCAACCGGTCCAGCAGTTTGGCCAGCTATACGCAACATATTAATGAATGTCTTGTTTTATTATATAGAAGATATAATTATACACTATACAGTCATAACCAGAAAGACCTCTGGAATTAATTGACAGTTAATGACGACTTTGCAAATACATCTCAAATAATTTTAAACGCACAATAAAGGCAACCCACATTTTGGAATTGGCAGGACTAGGTTTTTTATGTTATTATTGTTTCATTAATCATATTTGTAAAATTAGATTGTAAAGTCGTCTGATTAGTTATAAATTAATTCCGGGTCTTTCTGATGATGACTATAATGTATATAATGCATATTTGCAGAAAATGGGAGTTTGAATTATTTTCCTTCTAATACTGCGAGTTTTACGGACAGATTTTCTTATTGATGCCACTTCTGGAGTTCCTTAAAAATAATTAATTCATAGAGAAAGTTTATAAAACATTTGCTTTTCACCTTAAGTATGTATTTTTTTTTTCGAAAAGAGTGGCTATTTTGAGATGGAAAAACACTGGTTAGGAACACTGCCGACTTTAAATTTTATCAAAAATAAATATTTTTGTCCCAACTCCTCCCTGTACAATTCTACCTTCATCTTCATTATCAGCTACATTTTCGTCGGCCGTCAAAACTTCACTTCCGGCAGGGTCATGGTTATCTTCAACCTCCATGGCTGTTTCGGGAACAACTTCTGCGAGAACAACAGGTTCCAGGTTCCTTTGTTTAGTTTGGGTAGACCTAGTAGGTTTATCTGGGTTCTGATCTACGGGTTCAGGTTCAACAGTCTCAGGTTCTGGGTTACGTAGTTTGGTTCGAGTAGAACGAGAAGGTTTAGAGGTCTCCTGAAATCATTTAAACATTTTTAAACATCATTCGGTGGATAAGAGCTTGTGGCACACTAAAGAAGAAGTTTAACAAGTTCTAGTAGTTCAACTATCTCTTACTTTGTATTGAATCTGAACTCTATCCTACCTGTGATGTATTCATGTCCTCTTGTCCTCTCTGTTTAGTCCTGGTTGATCTGCTAGGACGAGCTTCTTCACATGATGGAACAGTTTCAGGTCTGAAATCACATTATAAGTTAAAGAAGTTAACAAATAGGGAAAATTACTATAAAGGAAGATAAGATGCACACTCTCTCAACTCAGAACAGGATACAGCAACTACCTAAACTCTAACATGTCTAGGATAGACAGCATCATTAAAAATATCCACACAAACTGCCAGGGTACTCAACATGATACAAACCATATATTTAATTGCCCCTCCAAACCCACCCACCTAACCCATAGAAGTCTCTGGGACAAACCTCAGGAGGCTGCAGGCTTCCATAGACTTTGTGAAGAAGAGATTTAATGAACTGATGATTGGCTACAACAACATGAGTTAAAAACGGTAAACATAAAATACAGAGACCATAATTTGAAGTGACATGCCTTTAAATTCTTATTAAAATGTAGGGAACCAAGAACCTGTGAAGATTTATTTACGATTTTCATGTAAGGAACAAAGAGCCCATGAAGATTGATGAAGAAATTATATCTAGGGAACCAAAAACCCTTCAAGATTGATGAATGATTAAAATATAGGGAACCAAAAACCCTTGAAGATTGATGAATGATTTACATGCAGGGAACCAAGAACACGTGAAGATTTATGAATTTTTAACATGTTGGGAACAAAGAACGTGAAAATTTATGAATTTGTAACATGCTGGGAACCAAGAACCTGTTAAGATGGAGAAATGATTTACATGCAGGGAACCAAGAACATGTGAAGATTTATGAATGAATAACATGTTGGGAACCAAGAACCTGTTAAGAATGGATGAATGATTTACATGCAGAGAACCAAGAATTCATGAAGGTTGACATAATGTTTAACATGTAGGGAACACTTGATGCTAACCATCTGTTAGGCCAATTGCTTAGGATCATTTAAATTTGCTGCGGACCCGGGTCCAGATCCTGGATCCGCACGGGAAAAAATTGATCCAAATCCAGATCCGGATCCAGGTCATAAACATTTCCTTCAGATTTACTGATTTATTTTAATTTTTAACAATGCAGTATTGCCGAATTATCTTTTTATTTTTTTCTGGCGTTTTTCCTTGATGAACCATTCAGAGTTCGGGAAAATATCTCTTGGTTTTGAACAGTTCAGATTTGGGTTTTGAGAGTAATAAAAGTTTTTTCTTTTGATATTTTGCCATTTCAATCTGATTCGTATATTTTTGCGGATCTGGATCCAGGAAGCCAAAATCTTGCGGATCCAATGGATCTGTATCCTAAGCACTGCTTTAGGTGGTGTATATAGCCAGTGCTTAGAATTCATTTCAATTTGATGCAAATCTATTTCATTATGATTTTAAACAAATAATAAGTCTTTAAAAACATTTTCTCTTTCTTAGCTGTTCAGCTGAAACTTGATAAAACATTCAAAGATGAGGACGTTTTTTAACAGTCACACATTTATTAACATTTGAGATGGATTTTTAGAGAAAAAGATTTTAAGCAAGTTTTGTTAAATATTTTGCCCCTTAGATTTGATTTCGTGGATCCACATATTTTTACTGATCCAGATACAGTAAGCCTACGTACATGTTGCAGATCCATAGCCCGCTCTCCAACGATATGTAGTTTTTTTCTGAAGAATAATAAATAAAATCCCAACCTTGATTGCGCAGTCACCACTTCAACTTGTTCCTCCTCTTCTTCTTCTGTTCCTGTTTCTATATTTTCTTTTACCTGCACACAAATAAGGTAAAATGATTTTACATCAAAGATAGGATGTATCTCGAAATTTCTTGAAGTAAGTAGGAAGGCCCATGTGAATAAAAGATTAATTGCCGCTTTATATAATAATAATCTTTTAAGCTTTCAAAAGCAAAAAGAAAATTTCTAACAGAACAGTTGAAATGTCTAAATGTTGAAAATAAATGTTCATTATAATTTACCTTTGAGTTATCTTGTGAGGAATTAATTCCTGGCGCTGATGATTCCGCTGAAGACTCCACCTGATGATACCTAGGAGCAGGTTTGGGTGGAGAAGAATGGATCTCTGCAACTACTTTACGCTTCTTAGTCTGGGATTCATCTTCAGAACTAGTGGAGTTTGGAACCCGGCTTCTATATCACACATAATTCAAACTTTAAGATTATGGAGAGGGGGGTTATACATTTTCATTACAAGATTTTGGAAGGAAAAATTAAAAAATTTGATATGAAAAGTTAAGCTTTATCGTCCCATTGATACTTATTTTTCAAAACTTCAATCACTTTCCGCAATTTAGCGATTTAAACTAAAAATATGATAAAGAGGAGGGGGAAGAGTTGAAATACATTCAAGTTCACAGTTCATGACATAAATGGGAAACCTAATTCAATATGCTTACCCAAAGTCATTAAAATTGTTAACAGTGACTTACGAATTTGTTTAGACGAAGAAGTATGAATATTGCCGGAATTAATTTTCAGAATGACAAATATTGATCTTACTCATATTGTTACTCAGATGATAGAAGAGTACTGCTGTGGATTGGACACATGACTGTTAGAAACAAGGGTCACGAGAAATTCGTTGCCAGTATTTCTACTAGCTAAAAGGCCTGGCGTTGCCCGTGGAAAAAAAGTGGAAATAAAAAAATTTGAAAAAACAATTTTCGAATTGCCCGGCGTTGCCTGGGGAAAAAAATCGAATTTTATTTAGCCTTTCATACCATCCGGCCAACCAGCAGTATTCTAAAAAAATTTCAGCCCAATCGGTCCAACGCAACATATTAATGAATGTCTTATTTTATTATATAGAAGATATAATTATACACTATACAGTCATAACCAGAAAGACCCGGAATTAATTGACAGTTAATGACGTCTTTGCATTTATATCTTAAATAATTTTAAACGCACAATAAAGGCAACCCACATTTTGGAATTGGCAGGACTAGGTTTTTTATGTCATTATCTTTTCATTAATCATATTAGTGGATTTTAAAGTCTTTACTATGCATATAATATATATATTTGCTGAAAATGGGGTTTTGAATTATTTTCCTTCTAATACTGCGGGTTTTACGGACAGATTTTCTTACTGATGTCACCTCTGAAATTCCTGAAAAATAATTAATTCATAGAGAAAGTTTATTTCACATCACGCCGCTCGTTACCTGAAAAATCTTTTACAAATAAGTTTTTTTTAAAAGTTTTATTAAAAATTTTTTGGAAAAAAATGCTCCATAAAAAATTATTTTAAATTAATTCTAAGAATTTCCTACAGACTCCAATTTACGCCATTCTTGATGAAATTTGCATTTAACCTTAAAGGAAGTGTTCGCAAAAAATGAAAGGGGGTATAGGCTTGCGGCGAAAAATAAGTTGTTGCGTCTATAAGGAGAAAATTGTTAAAAACGACTAATACTGAAGAACGTAGTGTCCACACAATTCAAAAAAGATGCAACATTCAACTCGGATCGTAAACAAATCAATTTAATTCCAAACACATCATTCAGATATTTCAAACAATAGTCATCGACTATTTTTCGACGCATTCGTAAATAGTTGATATTTCATAATATTTTGTATTTTTCAAGATCTGAGAGTTACTTTTGAAAACATTTATTCCTGTTTCGTAGATTTTTGATAATAAAGACGAAATTTTCTTTTTTTTTCCAGGAATGTTCGAAAAACCAGCGCCAGCGAAAATTATATAAAAAATATCAAATATTAACTATATACGAATGCGTCGAAAAATAATCGATGACTACTGTTTGTAATATCTGAATGATTTGTTTGGAATTAATTTGATTTGTTTACGATCCGAGTTGAATGTTGTATCTTTCCGAATTTGTATAGACGCTGCGTTCTTCGGTGTAAGTCGTTTTTAACAATTTTCTTCGTATAGACGCAACAGATAGAAGTAAGATTAATAGGAATCAAAAGCGCTTATTTTTCGCCGTAAACCTATACCCCTTTTATTTTTCGCGAATACTCCTTTTAATGATGTATTTTTTTTATCGGAAAGAGTGGCTTTTTTGAGATGAAAAACACTGGTTAGGAACGCTGCGGACTTTCAGAGATTTCATCAAAAATAAATATTTTCGTCCCAACTCCTCCCTGTGCAATTCTACCTTCATCTTCATTATCCGCTATATTTTCGTCGGCCGTCAAAACTTCACTTCCGGCAGGGTCAGGGTTATCTTCAACCTCCATGGCCGTTTTGGGAGCAACTTCCTCGAGTACAACATTATCCTCCTGATTTTCGGTTTCAGCTTGAGGATTCCTAAAAACTTTCCACATAAAATCTGCCACACTTGACACACAGCTCAAAGAATATGACACAAAAATTATTCATATGAATAAATCTGCGACTTAAATTATATTGAAGCTTAAATTCTGCCACAAAAAAGTGCTAATGTGTGACACAAACTATACCCACTAAACAAACAGTAATTATAAGGAAAAATAATACCACAAGTTATGTCTTCGTCATACAAAAACTGCCACACATTCCTTCAAAACTCAGAAAATCTGCCACAAACAGTATTTAAATGCATAAAATCTGTCATAAATAGTAATTAGACATGTAAAATATGCCATAAATTATGTTTTGCCATATAATATCTGCCAAACATGCCATCAAAGCTCAGAAAATTTGCCACAATCAGTATCTAAATAAAAAAATCTACCATAATATTTTTTAGTTATAAATCTGCCACAAATTAATGCTAATACATAATATATGCCACAGGTTATACCCAGACACATAAACCTGCCACACATGCAGTCAAAGCTAAAAATCTTCCACTAACAGAAACTAAAATATGCCAAACAAAACAAAGCTCAGAAGATATGCCACAAAAAGTTTTTTTTCAGATAAAAAGAAGTCAAAAATAAAAAAAATACATTTTAAAGCATAAATAATAGCCCTAAATGATATCTTAACATTTAAAATTTGTCACAAATATGTCACCAACAGTAATTAAATTATGCCACACAAAACTTGGACTAAAAAACTGACACAAAATATTTTTTGGCAAATGAAGCATAAAAGCTCATAAGATATGCCGCAAACAGTTTCTTAATGCATAGAATTATCTGCAACGAAATTTGTCGATAAGTCTAGTATATACCACAAAACAATGTTCACTCAAAAATAATACCGCAAGTTATACCCTGCCACAACAAATCTGCCACAAAAGCTAAGCTCAGAAAATATGTCACCAACAAATAACTATAAAGGCTAAAGCATAAAATATGCCTCATAAAAATATGGGAAGAGGGAAGGGAAAAGGAAAAAAGGGGTAGGGGGAGGGAAGGGAAAACCCACAAAAAGTGTCAGAAATGCTTTGAAAAAATCTCAGGGGGACCTTTTAAGGGCACTAAAACGCTCCATTATACTGCTGAAATCCAAAAATGTTCTTTGCAAGGGGGGCTCTGCCCACCCTGCACCCTCTCCTGAAAAATATACCTGTTTCAAAGTTGCAGATTTGGGCAAAAATATGATTCTGAAAAAAAGGGAGGGGGGTCAAAAATACGAGTTTCTCAACTTATACACACCCATGTTTTACCGTCTGAATGAATTCAAATCTTCCAATTGTTAAGAAAACCAATACATTGAATTGAATTTAATGATATGTCAGATATCTGCAGAACATGTCCAATGGCTAAGAATAGGCATTATTTTGAGGTTCGTTTTCTACATTCAAGGTCTTTTGAATTCAAAGGTGTTCTAAAATAATAGAGATATTATCACAGCAAATTCCAATTTTCTATATAATTGCCTTTAAAAAATGTACAATTTGTTTTTTTAGTTTACCAAAATAATTTTAAACCGGTTTGATCCATCAGTTCTGAAAAATCTTTTCGATAAATATCTTTGGCCAGAGAAATTTTATGCATAATGCATAATTTAATGCATAAGTCGACATATTAAGCATTACATTTTAAAACAAGATGAACAACATATGAACAACTAAGATTCTTGTGGACTCTTTAAAAATGCATTTTTGTTTTGTTTTAACGGATCTCACAATGATGCTCATCACAACCTTTTGCAAGAGAAAAGCGATCAAAATAGATTTTACATAATATCGAACTACAAAGATTATTGAAACGGCTGGTATGGTGACCAGAGGGGGGGGGGGGGTTTACCTGATATTAATATAATAAATTAATGAAGGTCTTTTTTTCTTTCCAATATTACTCAATTTCTTGACGTTGGCGGATATTTCATTTGTGGCAACCTAAAAAAAAGAGGTTAATTTAAGCTGAAAGAAATGAAGCTGTATCGTGATAATAAAAAAACATAAGGGGCGAGACAAAATTGGTTCTAGTAGGAAATACATCCTCGAAGAAGATAAACATATCTATTTAGCATAAATAGACCCCACTCGGAAGTTGTTTGTAAAATATATATAGATATATCAAATATTCAACATATACTTCGTAAAACTTATTTATTTTTAATTAGGAGGATTGTCTTACCTTAGAAACCGCCCTGCTGCTACGACTGCTTCGAGAGTCCAAAAATCGTATATTTGGAAGGATCCTGTCCGAAAGACCGCTTTATGAACCCCCAACTATTTGTATGAAATTTTCGATCTAGATTTAAATTATTGCTCGACATGGCATATACTAATTAAGTCCAAAAATCGTTCTTTAGGACAGACCCAGACAATTACTTTAACTTAATTTAAAGAGATTCAGGCAGATTTACAGATGGTGTTGAGTTGATTTCATTTGAGGTTCACATTTAAGGTTAAACAAAGCCTTACCTCATACTGTTTCTCTAGATTTACAAGAACGTCTATACCAAACTGATTGGCGGCCATTAACTTCGTTAGCACATCGTCCACCGTGGCCGGCAGAAGATCGTCCGCCATACTTACCAAAACTCAACTACTCACCGTTCTGGAACATAACAGACAAATATAATTTTCTATGACTTGAATTTAAAAAGTTGTAAAATATGACAAAGTTAATTAGAATTGATTGATTAACGTTTATATCTGTAAGCAATTAATCGAGCTTCTTGTATCTATATTACAACAAAATCATCTGTAAGACTGTGGTGAACGCTGAGCGGCTGAACGATTATTTCGTTTCGCAAATTCGAATGTTGAAACAGCCCGCCAATAATGGTGGGGAATATTCCGGTTTCTAGACTCGAAATATGCGTCGTCTTCGTTTTATATGCTGCTGCATCGATCGGATTAATGGTACTTCTTGGGATGCTATATCGATTGCACTAACGTCAGATACCGATATAGACTGCAAACGTACAATTTGCATCAAAGTTAGCTGATTAAAAACCGGGTTGTATTCCGAATGAATATTTAACGTATATTAGGTGTCCTTATGTTTATAAATTGAACTATAATTGTTTTAATTCGACCTGCCAAAAATATTCCCACATCAAATTAGACCGCGTCAATGGGTCTAAATAACGATTTGGGGGACAAATCAGAAAATTTAAGAAGAATGAATCATTTTGAAAATAGGTTAATAGAAATTTTTTTTTGCAGAAAATGCTAGATATTTTGAGTATAATGTGCGTATTTAGGTGTTAAAGATTGGAGATAATCTAATATATGATATGGGACGCTCTGCAGTATATTTGATCTGTGATCGTGCAATCGAAACAGTTCACACAATCAATTTGTTTAAACGGTATTTATGAATCTACTCGAAGCTGTTTATTTTTGTATTATTTGAGGGTTAGGTTAGCTGTAATGAGAATTTATGGGCCGAGTGCTGCGGCTATGGACGCGGGCTAGGATGCCAAGCGCAGCGGTAGGACAGGCTAAGGGGCCGGGCGCTGCGGCCAGAAGTGCATATTGCAGCACATGTAAAACCACTGGCCGGGTCAAGAGTCCGGTATCTTAAGAGCGGTATTAGCTAATACCGCTCTAATACCACTCTTAACACTAACACCGGTGTTTAGGAAATACGGATTCATAAGTCGCTAATGCTGCCTAATTTGTGGCAGGATTATCTAGCCTAGAACAGCTGATGCGTTCATAAGTCATCCTAGCTAAAACCAGGATTATCATCCAAACTTTACCGTTTTGACTCTTCTGCGCAACTCTTTTCTCTTCTCAACTTAATAATTTGTTAATAATTATAAAGACGACTTTTAAATAATACATTTTTTATTATATGACGAAAGANAAATTTTTTTATTTTGTTTATAAGGATGTACTGGGTGGTCACTTGTTGGAGTAACTTTTATTTTTAATTTTTATTTATTTTATTATTTGATAAAATCTTTTTGGAAATTTAACTGGAAAAGATTTTTTTTATGCCAAACCATACATCGATACATTTTTATATTCCTTTGACAAGACAGGCCTTAAGTTAAACTTTATATGATAAAGAGGAAATAATTAATATTTAATTTTTCAGGGCTGAAGCTGAGGCAAAGCTGAAAGAGGCTGGATTCAGGTTATTTATTAATTTCATCTTTTAAATTTTTTTCTTTCATTTAGTTTCTTAAATTTTCTTTTAAATTAACTTTCAAAGTTTGGTATTTAAGTAGACTTTAGAATAGATGCTAATGTATTAAAAAAAATATAACATTTTTTCTTGTATTTCATATTTTACATTTAATCAAATTCAAATATTTTATTTTTAACTTTGTTTTTAAAAATAATTTCTAATATTTGATTGCAATGTTTTTTAGTGAGGGAACTTTCCTTGTTCGTGACTCAATAACAAGCGAAGGAGATTACGTACTATCAGTTGTACATAATGAAGAGGTACATACAGGCTATAGGGGTATTTCTTTATAATATAAATATAATATATTATTTTCAAAGAAAATATTCACTCCGGTTATTTTTTTTTAGGTTATTCATTATCAGATTAGAAAACGAGGAGAAGATGCGCTCTTCTCTCTGTCTGCTGAACCTAAGGTAAAAAACGATCATAATAAAAAAATCGAAATTTATTTTTATTAATTTCTCCTGTGCGTCTGTTAATGATATTTTTTTGGGTCACTTTAAACCTTTTATTTAGGTTACTTGTTGCTTAACATAACTTTTTTTATTTATTTATAACGAATATTTTATTAAGGTTATTCACGGATTGGATCAGTTGGTAAAATTCTATTCAACTAGTTCTAAAAGTGGACTTCAACATTCCTTATCAGGTTTCATCTTATAAAGATTTTTAATTGTTTTAATAAATGAATTATTGATCGATTGATATATTTTTATGATTGATTGGTTTGAAGCTGGACAAAATTTGTCAACGATCGAAGAAAATTTATATTTTTTAAAACCATGGGAGGTTGTATTTATTTGCCCTAAGTTATTCAACGATAAATAATATAATTGAATACGCACATCCATTGACATATATTTTGGATTGGTAAGGAGTTGATTGGAAGGTATAAGATTGTCAGGTTATCTGTGTCTGGGTAAGATCAGAGTCATTAACGAAGAGATGAATTAAAATACAGGTGTAACTGTAGAGGATTGTGGAGACAAGTAAGCTAATTAAGAGTCATGATTTAATGTTACTGAATTCCCATGTATGCATCAAGCTTATGTAATCTAGCACCTTGTAAAACTAGATTCAAGTACAATGTACAAATTAATGTACAGTGTACAATAGTTAATGCATTTTATTTAGATTATGTACCTGGCTCCCTTGCACCACCAGAAACTCGATTACATGGGAATGAGAATTTATTGCACAGGTCAGTCATTTACCTCCCCTACTCCTTGTGCCAATAAAATTGTTATTGTAAAAAATAATTTGTGGGAGGGCTCAACCTTTTTTTACTAAAAGGGACTGTTAAGATTTGTTCCTTATTTGCTGAATATGATCTGTTTTATTCATATACCATATCACATATATATGAATTTTGGTATAACTTTATAGCTGTTTTATATTAATTTCTCGAGAGAGGGATATCATAAAGAACTAATATTGGTCGCGATCATCTGCTAAATTTTTTAGGCTTCAGCTTATATCCCTTTCATTTTACCTTAGCAGTCCCTTTAATTGGGAGTTAGCTATCCTCTAGAAAACCATTATCAGAGGGGAGGGGGCTCAGCCCCCTGATATAAAGTTGATTATTTTAGAGCTACAGCTGAAGGAAATATAACTGTAGTGACTGAGCTCCTTGCTTCTGGATATAGGAATCTAGACTCAAAGGTTAAACAAATTAATTGATTAATATTTTAGTTTAGTTTTCGGATTAATTCAAGGACTCCAAAATGGATGTAGTAGAAGTTACAGTGATTAACATAAGAAACCTGCATTAGAAGCTACATGTTATTCTTTGTTAGTTAAGATAGGAAGATTTAATGCAATATACGTGCATAAATTAGAAATTTCTTTTGACATTTTATGAGGTTTTTTGTTCTTTTAAAAAAATGTTTGACTATGTGTTGCTTGATTTTGTTTAATATGTTTTAATTATAATGGTCGTAGAGGATTTTTACACAGTTGTTTTATTGTTGAATATGTTCAGGGCCTATTTTAAGATCTATAACAATTGCAATTACAAAATCCATTGAACGAAGACCATTACGCTTTATTCTGGATATCAAAGTAGGAACTTGAATTAAAAACAGGAATTGGCATTTTTTGAGAAACACAAAAAATAGGTTTCCATATAATTCCATTTCTGTACCCAAATGGGATCGGGGTTGAAAGAAGATTTAGGAGCATGAAAATACCTAAAAAGTGGCGTTATTTGATCTTAAAGATCAGATCTAGTGTTTACCCCGAAGTGTACTTTGCCAATGTCCATTATTCAATTGCATCAGTATCTAAAAAGAACAACCTGATATCTTTGTATTTATATTTGCCATGTCTGTTAATGAACAGCGAAATCAATCTGTGACCGAATTTAATGAATTTGAGCCGCCGCTTAAGTCTGCCAAAAACCGGTTTCAATTGAGCGCCAGCTTAAATCTTGAAAAATTGAATACAATTTTAAGTGGAACCAACCATATTTAAGCCGCGGCTTAAATTCTTTAAATTCGGCCTCTGGCCTAAATCGTTCAGAGACCTTCTTCGGGCCAAGATGTGATGTTCGGCTGTTCAGGATTTTGAAAATGTCACCACTAAAAACAAGAATTTGCATGATTACTAAAAACTAATGTTTAAATATTAATTACAGAACCATGATGGACAGACAGCCCTACATATTGCAACCTTACATGGACATAAGGTAGGATTGTTGATGTTTAGAACATTTTTTTCAGCTTAAAGGGACTGTAAGCGTACTGTCAAGTGAGCCGCAAAGATGTCAATGCCCGATACACATCAGCCTTGTCTGATCAAGTATAAATAAGATATTGATGTTTCATAATTATTAAAATAGATTATTTTATGGTAGAGGAGGGTCTAACTATACAGTATACAGTAGATATATACACTGTCAAGGATTTAGATATTCACAATTCTGGATTCTCAACAAAAGTGACTTGCGCATATTCTACTACAGGAATACTTGTAGGAATTAACATTTTGAAACCTTGAAAAATACATTAATTACCTTCCACAGTATTGATCAGATTAATGTCTCAAGGGTACCGTTGTAAATCGGGTATTGCCATCTTTGTGTGCAGGGTCTTTTCAAATTACGCTTACCGTCACTTAAAATGAATTTTTGACCGCTGAAATTCTCTAAATTTTAGTCTGTGTTAGAGGCTCTGCTTAAATATGGAACTAGAGTAAATGTCAGGTAAAGAGCTAACACAGATAATTCATAATGGAAACTTTAAAGTATTACATTTAGGAATAATAAGTGATGACTATTTTGTTTCCATTCAAATTTTTTTTATTCACAAAAGAATTAAGTCTTTGTCACAAACTCTTATTTTCTAATCCCTATATCTTTGCATCCCATTTACGTAGACATTAGATATTGTAATCTATGAATTCTGGTAGATTAAGAAAATTGTTTGAAATATCAAAGGTTTACACCATCAGATCGAACAGATATATAGGGATAAGAACATTTAAGTTTGTGGCAAAGGCTCAATCCCTTAAGCTTCTATTATTATTACTATTTGGCAGTGATACCCAGGGTTATACTGCACTACACTACGCTTGTATAAATGGATCTCAGGAACTTACCAAATCTTTGCTTACTAAAGGACGAGCTAATCCAACTATTAGGTAATCATTGAAATAGTAGAACAAAGGGTATAATATATTGAAACATTTAAAATTATTGATTTTTAACAAAAGTTCATAAATTTTTTTATCCTAAAGGAATGAATTGACCCAATGGGTTCCTCTGCACGATGCAGCATACAAGGTTGGTGAATTTTCCCTAATCTAAATAAAGCTCTTTGCTGATATATATATATACTAGCTGAAGGGCCAACAATTGCCCGTGGCAAAAAAAATGTTTAACAAAATATTTTGAAGAAAAAAATTTTGAAAAAAAATTCGAATTTTTTTTCAACCTATAACACCCCCAGCCACCCCTGAGTGTCCACAAAAAATTTTAGCCAAATCGGTCCAGCCGTTTAATTTGACCGGCTATAGGCAACATATATATATGTACGAATGTCTTGTTTTATTATATAGATTTTTCTTAATGTATAATGTGTAGAAGCAGGAATCTGAGAGGATAAATCCAAGAAATGCTCGAAGATAAAGAAGAAAATCTCCGAACAAGAAAACAAGAATCTAGGAGTCAGTCCGTCTCTACCCTTCAACTTGAACAGATCTACTCTTCGATAAAAATATCTGTTTATTAAATATATACCAAATAAACTATATGTAGGAATTGTTCATACTCTCTAAAAATGTATATATAATATATGTTAGCTATAGTTGGCTAAATGGCTGGACTGATTTGGCTGACATTTTTTTAGGGAACTCTGGGGTTCCCTAAAATCAGAACATAAAAAAGGGCTAAAAAATCAGATTTCTTTTCAAATAGGATTTTTTTTATTTCGATTTTTATAAAACATTTCACAGGTACCACCGGGCAATTCGGCTAAATAGGTCTTGGTAACTATATAGTTCAGCGGAGTAGGTCCTGGAAACTATAGTTCGGCTGAATAGGTCCTGGAAACTTTAGTTCAGCTAAGTTGTTTGGAAATAGTAGGTCTGGAAACTATAGTTCAGCTGAGTAGGTCTGGGAACTATAGTTCAGCTGAGTAGGTCCTGGAAACTATAGTTCAGCTGAGTAGGTCTGGAAGCTATAGTTCAGCTGAGTAGGTCTGGAAACTATAGTTCAGCTGAGTAGGTCTGGAAACTATAGTTCAGCTGAGTAGGTCTGGGAACTATAGTTTAGCTGAGTAGGTTCTGGAAACTATAGTTCAGCTGAGTAGGTCTGGAAACTATAGTTCAGCTGAGGAGGTCCTGAAAAGTAAAGTTCAGCTGAGTATGTCTGGGAACTATAGTTCAGCTGAGTAGGTTCTGGAAACTATAGTTTAGCTGAGGAGGTCCTGAAAAGTAAAGTTCAGCTGAGTATGTCTGGGAACTATAGTTCAGCTGAGTAGGTCTGGAAACTATAGTTCAGCTGAGTAGGTTCTGGAAACTATAGTTCAGCTGAGTAGGTCCTGAAAAGTAAAGTTCAGCTGAGTAGGTCTGGAAACTATAGTTCAGCTGAGTAGGTCCAGGAAACTATAGTTCAGCTGAGTAGGTCCAGGAAATAATAGTTCAGCTTAGTAGGTCTGGAAACTATAGATCAGCTGAGTAGGTCCTGGAAATTGTAGTTTAGCTGAGTAGATCCTGGGAACTATATTTCAGCTGAGTAGGTCTGGAAACTATAGTTCAGCTGAGTAGGTCCTGGTAATTCTAGTTTAGCTGAATAGATCCCGGCGAACTATATTTCAGCTGAGTAGGTCTGGAAACCATAGATCAGCTGAGTAGGTCCTGGAAATTATAGTTTAGCTGAGTAGATCCTGGAGACTACTGAGCCCGCGATTTAAAAAATTTGGGAAAATACGGCTCGTGTCTAAGCTGTTGTTGAGCCTTATTTACGACTTGAGCTTTCTGATTCAAGCTGCATCTTATTTTCAGTTAAAGTTGAGTTCAAAAACCGGTTTAATATTCTATTTGGCGGATTTTCATGGTAGGAATTGACGGATTCCGGGGTTTTATGAGAATAAGACTCAACATTTTGCCTTATTCTCCACGAAAACCTACCAAGGTCGGTTTTATTTTCTTTGGGCCTAACTCCTTAATTGTCGAGCCAAAGATCTTGCAGCTGTCAATCACGTGACACAAGCTGTCGTCAGAGTTGGGTCTAAGATTGGGTCTTAAAGTTGGGTTTAAGGAATTACGACTCGAGCCGAAGATTTTAAATCGCGGGATCAGATCAGCTGAGTAGGTCCTGGATATTACAGTTCCGCTGAGTAGGTCCTGGAAACTATATTTCAGCTGAGTAGGTCTATAAACTATAGTTCAGATAAGATGGTTTGGAAACTATAGTTCAGCTGAGTAGGTCTGGGAACTAGTTGAGCTGAGTAGGTTTTGGGAACTATAGTTCAGCTGAGTAGGTCCTGGAAACTATAGTTCAGCTGAGTAGGTCCTGGAAACTATAGTTCAGCTGAGAAGGTCCTGGAAACTATAGTTCAGCTGAGTAGGTCCTGGAAACTATAGTTCAGCTGAGGAGGTCCTGGAAACTATAGTTTAGTTGAGTAGGTCCTGGAAACTATAGTTTAGCTGAGTAGGTCCTGGGAACTACAGTTCAGCTGAGAAGGTCCTGAAAACTATAGTTCATCTGAGTAGGTCCTGGAAACTATAGTTCATCTGAGTAGGTCCTGGAAACTATAGTACATCTGAGTAGGTCCTGGAAACTATAGTTCATCTGAGTAGGTCTTGGAAACTATAGTTCATCTGAGTAGGTCCTGGAAACTATAGTTTATCTGAGCAGACAGAAACAGTTCGGAAATTAATCTTTTTTATTTTACAGGGACACATAGATTGTGTAATTGCTTTACTAGACCAGTTTGCCCCATCCAAGCCAAGAACACCTAAGGAACGATTTCTTTTAAAAGGATGGTTTTTTAAATTTTTATTTTGAAAATTAAGCAAATACATTTCGAACTGAAATATTTAAAATTTGTACACTGTACACAAAAAAATAAAATTTTAGATAAATATTGCAGATTTTTGAGAATTTTCAAAACTAAAATGTTTTAAAAAGTTAGTTTTTACCTGACAAAAAATATTCGACAAATTCAGAATGAAACTCCGGCCGATCTTGCGAGGACAACCGGCCATCATGAGGTATTATTATTATTATTATTATTTAATTTTAGAAAGTTTACAATTGATAGTATGCTCAAAAGATATGTTTTTAAATGAAAATAAAACAACGTTAAACCACCGCACGTACATAATTATCTTTAATATCATTCTTCAATAATATTACTTTTGAAAGGAATATTTTCTGTTTCGATATACATTGGGTAATTTCGGTAAATAAGATTCATCAACATCCCACCTTTCCCATCTTCATAGTACAACCTCAAAATCACTTTCTTTGCTTTAAAAATACAGGGGGTGTATATTTTATCGAAAAATAATTTTACTTCCCCCCCCCCCAATAATTTTTTCCGCCTTTAAGCATATTTTAGAGTTTTCTTCCCTGAATTGGGGGAAATTAATATTTTTTGGGGAAAATAAATAAATCTAAAGGAGTATGTGTCAAATTTTTTATTTTATTAATAATTCTAAGAAATACACACCCCTGTAAAAACGTTTGTTTACACTAAGGTCAGCTCCGAGCTCTGTCACCCTGGCCTTTCCTAGCCGTGGGTCCGTGTCCAAACTTTACCTGGCACAAGCTATCGTTTTTTACCACCTAGGATTGTGGAAGAGATGCCATCCTTTAACTGGAGTTGGTTCTAGTCATATCATGTTTTAAGTACAAACTTATAAATTTTCAAATTTAAAATATTTTAAAATTCAAAATGATTATATCTAGGTTGCTGCGTTCCTTGATTCATACCCAGTACTTCATCCAGGAATGTTTTAATATAATTAGTAACTTAATGATTGAAGTTAAGAGCAGAATAGTATTTTTTTATATTGGGGTCAGGTTCATTTTGTAATTTCTGCTTTTCTGTTTTTGATATATGTTAGATATAAATTTTTTTATAGTTTTGGAAACGAATTAATTTTTAGTTGTGTTATCTCTTGCGGATTTCTTCTTCAGGAAAACATAGAAGATAAAGGATTTAAGTTTCAAGGGCACCGTTGTTAATCGGGCATTGTCATCTTTTCGATGAGGGTTAACTTGAAATCACGCTTACATTCCCTTTAATTTTAATAGAATCTGAATTTAAACCTAATTTTTGGCTAGAAACTAGTAAAAGATTTCTTTCCTTTTTTTTCTTTATGTCGAACTTTTTGTTTGTTAAATATTTCTCTGTAAACGGACTAATCCTATTTCTCTGTGAACGGACTAATTCTATTTCCCTGTAAACGGACTAGTTATATTTCTCTGTAAACGGACACTAATCCTATTTCTCTGTAAACGGACTAATCCTATTTCTCTGTAAACGTACTAATTCTATTTCTCTGTAAACCGTCTAATTCTATTTCTCTGTAAACGGACTAATTCTATTTCTCTGTAAACGGACTAATTCTATTTCTCTGTAAACGGACTAATCCTATTTCTCTGTGAACGGACTAATTCTATTTCCCTGTAAATGGACTAGTTATATTTCTCTGTAAACGGACTAGTTATATTTCTCTGTAAACGGACTAGTTATATTTCTCTGTAAACGTACTAATTCTATTTCTCTGTAAACGGTCTAATTATATTTCTCTGTAAACGGACTAATTCTATTTCTCTGTAAACGGACTAATCCTATTTCTCTGTAAACGGACTAATTCTATTTCCCTGTAAGCGGACTAGTTATATTTCTCTGTAAACGGACTAGTTATAATTCTCTGTAAACGGACTAGTTAAATTTCTCTGTAAACAGACTAATCCTATTTCTCTGTAAACAGACTAATCCTTTTTATCTGTGAACGGACTAATTCTATTTCTCTGTAAACAGACTAATTCTATTTCTCTGTAAACGGACTAATTCTATTTCTCTGTAAACGGACTAATCCTATGTCTCTGTAAACGGACTAATCCTTTTTCTCTGTAAACGTACTAATTCTATTTCTCTGTAAACGGACTAATCCTATTTCTCTGTAAACGGACTAATCCTATTTCTCTGTAAACGGACTAATTCTATTTCTCTGTAAACGGACTAATCCTATGTCTCTGTAAACGGACTATTCCTATTTCTCTGTAAACGTACTAATTCTATTTCTCTGTAATCTGTCTAATTCTATTTCTCTGTAAACGGACTAATTCTATTTCTCTGTAAACGGACTAATCCTTTTTCACTGTAAACGGACTAATTCTATTTCTCTGTAAACGGACTAATCCTATTTCTCTGTAAACGGACTAATTCTATTTCTCTGTAAACGGACTAATTCTATTTCTCTGTAAACGGACTAATTCTATTTCTCTGTAAACGGACTAATCCTATTACTCTATAAACAAAGCTTTAAAAGTGTTCAATTCTGACAGTTTTCTTCATCATTTCTGCAGCTTAAAGTTAAAATTAATAGAAAATGCAATTTCCTTTTTGATTAGACAAAGGTTTTAATGGTACCGCTGTGAATCGGTCATGTAAATCTATCATTGGAGGGTCAGTTGAAAATACATGTTGAGTTTCTTTAAAATCTGGATGTTTAAAAAAATATTTTTAAACATAGAAACCAATAAAACGGAGTGGTACCATCCCAGCATCGATCGTAAACAGGCTTTAGGTAGGGAACTTTCTATAATCTTTTTTTTTGGTAAGTTTTGAAATATACACTAAGCTATTTATATTATTACGTCATATATTATGTCATATATTATTAAGTCATGATTATTCATCTTTTCATTAGAAAAACTTTTAAAGTTTTAAAATAATTTTTTTAAATGATGCATTTTTTATATTTTCAAGCATTCAAGGAATCTACCTAAATTAGATATAGGTGAGATATTATTTTTTCTTCATATTTTCAATTAGAAACTACACGAAGTGTACAATATTTGAACACCTCAAACTATAAGTTAATTGCGTAAGATTATTTAATCTTTTTGTTTTCAATCAAAACTCCATTTATTAAGAGTTATTGAGAAGAATAACAATGTTTTAAGATTTTTAAATATAACCAGCTTTTCTCATACTTGTACGTTAAATTAAAACTAGAGGAGATATGAGGTCACAAGGTCGTACTGCAGTAATGTCGATAATGTTACCTCCTTCTTCTGTTTAGTTCAGTGAACGGAACTTGTTTCGTGAAACTAATTTTAAAGTCAATATTATTATTTGGTATAATTCTATAATTTTTGTAAAATTGTCCCAATTTTAGAGAATTTTTTTTACTTTTTTATAGATAAGTTAAAAAAGAAGGGACTGGATGATGGAACTTTTCTGATCAGAAATAGCAGCAAAAAGAGATTTTACGTTCTTAGTATGCTGTGGAAGAAAAAAGGAACTTATCTAAACTTGAAAATATTGTGGAATTGTAAAATATAGCATTTAATTTCTTTAATTTTTATCACTTAAAAATGTGTCTTAATTATTAAATCTTTGCAAAAACTAAAACTTAGAATTTTATTTTTTTTGATTTTTTTCCAAATAAAAATTTTAAAAATATTTAGAAAAATTGATCCAATTTTTTTTATGAATTTAAGAAATGAAAATTTGGCATTGACAACTGTTTTTATAAACTTGCAACAAGATCTACAATTCGAGAATAATTAAGAAAAACGATATGATTTACCTGGTTTTTACAGTTTTGATATGGTTTGTTAGGTCACCATTTTGAGATAGAGAAACAGGGTATTTACTTTTTTATAGATGAAGGACCTTATCATCTCTCCCTAGAACATCTTGTTCAACATTATTCAAGGTTAATATTTTTATAAATATAAACAGAATGTCAAAAATATTTTATAAAACAGCTTAACCATATGAGTTTAACTTTGGAGACACCAAAAGCATTGATAAAATGCGGTTTTCTAAATCTACTGATAATGGAATACTGCAGATATTTATTTTTTTAATTGAATAAGTTTATGGAGCTCTTTAAAACTGTTCCAGCATATTTTAATGTTATTTATTTATTTTTACAATAACTCAATTTAGGTATAAAAGTATAAAACTCATTGAAAAATTGTCAAGACGACATTTATAAATTCTTTTGATGTCTTCTGGGCTAAACTGTACATCAACCACGGAAAGTTTTAATTTGAAGTAATAATAATCCAGAAGGTTGTCTCTTTTGATATTAACTGACCATTATTAATAGCAAGATTAATTACAAAATTACAAGTAATATCAAATTCAATAATAATGTCAATATTTTTTTGGATAAAGATACAAACTGACAAAGTGACAGTTTACAGTTTTTCAATTTTAGTAATTTTCAGGTTTAGTGACGGTTTACCATGCGCTTTAAGGAACCCCGTACCATCTTTAGGCAACAACAAATTAAAATACATTTCTTGGTCGTTATGAGTACTTATTTTTTTGGGAACTTGATTTATTTTTAAACACAGGGGTATATATTCTCTTAATTAATTTTTCCACGAGACACAATGGTATATATTTTCTTTAAAAAATATTTATTTTTCCACAAGGGAATATATTTTCTTTAAAAATAACTTATTTTTCCATAAGGGTATATATTTTCTTAAGAAATATTTTATTTTTCCACAAGGGTATATATTGCCTTTAAAGAATAATTTTTTTCCACAAGGGTATATATTTTCTTTAAAAAATATTTATTTTTCCACAAGGGAATATATTTTCTTTAAAAATGACTTATTTTTCCACAAGGGTATATATTTTCTTAAAAAATATTTAATTTTTCCACAAGGGTATATATTCCCTTTAAAGAATAATTTTTTTTCCACAAGGGAATATATTTTCTTTAAAAAATAATTTTTTCATTATTACTCTCTTGATTTCAACCCCCCCCCCCCCCCCC